CTGCGCTTCCAGAGCTCGGCCGTGATGGCGCTGCAGGAGGCGAGCGAGGCCTACCTGGTGGGGCTCTTCGAGGACACCAACCTGTGCGCCATCCAYGCCAAGCGCGTCACCATCATGCCCAAGGACATCCAGCTGGCGCGCCGCATCCGCGGAGAGCGCGCCTGAGCCTCCCGCCCCTGTTCGTCGGGTGCTCGCAGTCACCGGAGCAGCCCACATAGACCCAAAGGCTCTTTTAAGAGCCACTCCATAGCCACTAAAAGGAGCTCCATCACTTTAAATATTCTAATTTAGATTTCGTGGGGTGGGCATACCCGTGCTCTGGGAACTAAATGTGTATCCCGTCCTCTTTCACTCCCCCCCTTCTCAGCCTTAATGGCGATGGGGCGGGATTAGCGCTGGGCGGGAGCCACTTAGGGACATTCCCGGGATCCCCGTTGTTCCTCTCGCTGCTTTTCCTCGGCAAGAGCTGGAACCTCCTGCAGCTCGTTGAAATTTCCGTTTGCGGATGAATGGGGCTAAGGCTTGAAAGATTCTGCTGCTCTTCTCCCAGCGTTTGTAAGGCCATCAGCAATTTCTGTTTCAAAGTGAGAGCGGTACCCGCAAAGGTGCACAGGAAGAGCACACATGTGCACTGAGCACACATGGAGGGAAGGAGCTGTCACTTATTAACTGGTCACTTCACTTGATTTTACTGGAGGTGAGGTTAACGGAAAGACTAAGAATTGAAATTGTTGTACACAAGAATAGACATCAATAATTTTCAGATTACCGATGATGATGATCATTGAATATAATTCAATTCACCCACACACCCACTCACATCCACATGCATACATCCACAGATAGAGCTGTACCAGTCAAGTTGATGGCCTCGATATTTCACCCTCTTTTACCTGAAGCTTTAGAATGATACAACAGGGAATAACACCTTACAGTTTAGTATTATCCCGATTTTTWAAATGAGGTACATAGCAGAGGGTAATGGTAATTTCTCACATGACTCCTGGAAACAGCATCTCTCCTGGTTGTTAAAGGTTGCAGTTGGCTTTTAGGCTGCAAGGATATGCTGTGTTGGGTAGTGCTGAAGGCTGAGTTGTGATGTCAAGGCCAATTGGTCATCTGGTATGGTTAGAGGTTTTTGAGCCATATTTTCATGCCTCTAGCAGAGTTGATCTTTGCATTTTGCATATGATCTAAGAGTTCAAGACATAATACTGTGATGAATGAAAAAAATGAGGAAAGGGTAAAAACATTTTTTTGGTGTAGCAAAATGCAAGCAGTAGGGATATGTGTTGTGTTTATACATGTRTACACATACCCACACACTCACTATATATAAATTTTATCCTATATGCCTTTTTTTTCCCCAAAAGTTTTACTGACTTTCATGGCCTAATCTTGCAGCCAGGTAAAGTAAAGGAAAGAAAGAATTGAGCAATATTACCAAGTAACAAATGGAAAATCTCTATGGGCAACAGCAGAGGGAGAGGATACTCTTTATTTATTTGTTTATTTATTTTTTTTCTTTAAATAGCTAGATATCTGTCTAGATAYTTATATGAAGATAGCTACCTCGCTGGATGGATGGATGGATAGACAGATTGACTTCCTCTCCATTTATTTTCTATTACTTCTGCCTACTTAGACAAATGGGCTGCTTCTTATTATTAATAATTATAAACTTATTAGCACACAGTGGTCACAGAAACTCTTTTTTTTATGATTAAAGTAATTTTATTAAATAGAACTAATATAAGAGCTAAGGATACAAATACGCTTTTTACAAACTATCAATCATAACGAGTAATTTCTCATTCGGTTTTGAATGAACTGACAAAAAAAAAATGTATGTGAGAGCTCTTTGCAGTGCATATACATGTCAGATGCCCAAATTATAAAACTTGATCACTATCTGTTTCAATAAAGTCCTTTTTGTTCATATGTCTTACCTCGTTGTAAAAGAAAATAAGTCCAGTGGCTTACTCATTTCTTAGCCTTCCCTAACAGCAAATTAAAGCCCAGTAATAAAATTAAGGTTTTTTTTTTTTTTTTTTTTCAGTTAATATTTGCTGCTATGTGAAACGTCAAATAGGAAGGGGGAAAAAAAAAGAGGCTTATGTGTATAATATGTATATGTAATCTGTATGTATATCTGCATTACGTGTGTCATATATACATACATGCTTATCAGGTCTAGAATATTCATAAAAATAGTATAYAAATAAGAAAGAAATTTTGTTACGTCTGCCCAATGAGTATTTTTTTTTTCCCCAAGGTCTAGAGGGGGTGATGCTCTCATTTAAAAAAAATAAAAATAAACTATTTTTTTTTAACAGGAAGCATTTTAGTATACTATATGCCAATTGCATCCAGCTCATGTCCTCGTGTCTAGCATGTAACAACAGAGGCGTCTGGTTTCTAGTCTCTTTTCCTTGCAGCCTATAAAGCTGTGCATCTTATTATGTGACTATTTCTTGTAACTACTAATACTTTTCTTCCTGTGTAATAATTATGAAACATAGTATCAGACTCATCCATGTCTCCTCAGATGCCTCACTCAAATATCTGAATCTTTATTTCAGATTGGCAGCACATTGGAAGGCCAAATTACATTATCAAATGTAGACGAAAGGACAGTAGATAACAAATGAGGTGATCATCAGGACCTGAAATTTATATTTATGGATAAATGAGTTCCCTGATAGCCCAACTAGCTAGTGTTCAAAGCATAATAAAATAAACTGGATAAATAAAGAAGATTAAAAAATAAATATAATTAAGAGGAGACTGGATTCTATTGAATAAACTAAATGATTATTAAATAAGCAAATTTAAACTRCGGAAACTAAATATAAATCTTCTCCTACTTCTGCATGAATTCCTATCTCCTTTTCTGTATAGTGTCACAAATGAAGCACCTCTTTGTCCTCCATTTTCCACAGGGATGAGACGGCCTACAAGGCCAGTGGCTTCCTTGCATTGGGCAGCTACACTCCCGAAAAAAGATCATTAAATTTCACCTGAATCAGTGCAGGGAATGTGGAGACTCGACTTCCTAGCATCATGCACCAATTCTCTTTGACATCTTTGCACTCTTTTACTCTCTACTCAGGTTCCTGGAGGGCCAAAAGTAAAACTAAAAGGGAAGACTAGGCCAGAACTGCATCTTGTGGTTCCCACCAAAACTGATAAACCCCAGGCTTTTATATATGTTTTAGAAGTACAGAATGGACCTAGATGTACTCAGTTATTGCTCTTATTGGAGAGCTTTCACACTTTCCACAAAGCTTTCACTACACTTTCCATAAAGCTTAAAAATAAAGAGCATTCCTCAGGAAAATGTCAGTGTGTAAAGAAGCATTTCCAAATTAGTAAATTTCCATAAAATTTGTTTTTAATTGATTATGGCCTCTACAGACCATATTATATCACCTTCACGAAAACCTATTTTCAAAATTTGTTAACAAATTACCTCTTTATGGCATAAAWTTTTTTCACAAGCTCACTAAGAGAAACTGAACTTCCTCCTGAAAATGTTGGGAGTAAATAACATTTTTAAATTATATCTGAAAAGCCCTTTCAGGTATTTTCAGAGATTCACTCTTGCACTCGATAACCAAATCCGGCCAGTGTGACAGCTCTCACAGTGATAACGTGGTGGCTCTKAAAAGAGCCTTTAGGATAGTGGGATGGAGCTCGAGGTGAAACGGGCGGGGGCAGRAGGYTCAGGCGCGCTCTCCGCGGATGCGGCGCGCCAGCTGGATGTCCTTGGGCATGATGGTGACGCGCTTGGCGTGGATGGCGCACAGGTTGGTGTCCTCGAAGAGCCCCACCAGGTAGGCCTCGCTCGCCTCCTGCAGCGCCATCACGGCCGAGCTCTGGAAGCGCAGGTCCGTCTTGAAGTCCTGCGCGATCTCGCGCACCAGCCGCTGGAAGGGCAGCTTGCGGATCAGCAGCTCCGTCGACTTCTGGTAGCGCCGGATCTCGCGCAGCGCCACCGTGCCGGGCCGGTAGCGGTGCGGCTTCTTCACGCCGCCCGTGGCCGGCGCGCTCTTGCGGGCCGCCTTGGTGGCCAGCTGCTTGCGCGGCGCCTTCCCGCCCGTCGACTTACGCGCCGTCTGCTTCGTGCGCGCCATGGTCCCGGGTGCTCCGCGCTGCGRCTGCCGCTCCTCAGGAGGGACGCCCGCGAATGAGCGCTGCCTGTAGCGGCGGCGGCTTTTATGGAGTGCGCGGCTTCTTGATTGGCTGGCATCGGTGGCCGTTACTATTGGACACTTTCAAATTCGAAAAGCCCGCTTCAAAAGCCCKCCAGTTCGCCAACGGTCCTCCGTGCTACTTCCCCCCGTCCCTCCCCCACCTTCACCCGCGTTTTTTATTATTCTCTTTCTTAACAGATTTTTGTACTGTGTCTCGTAGATGAAAATTCTCTTTAGTGAGTGATTCTCACTGAAGTAAACTGAAGCTGCCCTCCGAGATGCTTTTTTTTACCCCATCTTCAAAAGATTTGGGTTTTTGGAAATTATATATTATATAAATAAACCGACATTTATTTTTATTAATGAGTAACTTTGTAGCATACCCTTCATCATAAAGGCAGACTTCAAAAAGAACGAATAGCAAATAACAGTGTKGGCGGTACGCCAGCTAGCTGCTTACTGCGAGCGTTAAGTTCTGAGTGATGCTTAAATTCCAAGAAAAGTTATTTTTTACTGATTTTGCAATTATCTGAGTATTAAAGCTACTACCGACCTAATRGTGGTGAAATTAGATTCGCAGTTCTGAAACTTAAAAAAAATAATAATAATCGTCGTTTTCTACTAGCGGGAGGTATAGCAGTAATGGACATGATAGACATATATTGCTAGAACGATTTTCGTCGCGAGAGGAATAAACCCGGAGTATAGACGGCGGAGAAAAAAAAAAAAGGAGTCTGGAGACAAGCAGCTCCTCCMCCTCCTCTCCTCGCTCTCTAACCTCTCCCGAACACACTTTTACTTCCGGAGAGGCACCACACCGATTACTATGACTTAAGTAGGGCTGCAAATAMACACACAAAAAGCTTCGCTGTTGACGGAAACGCCCGGAGGGCAGTGAGACTTAAACTCGTAAAGGGTACTTCACTTTCTTGGCTCATTCAAGAWTTTTTTTTTTCCCCTCTAGGCAAGCAACCAGACAAGGACCTGTCGGCTAATTACAGCCTCATCACACAGTTGCTCTTGAAGCTTTGTGTATTCCTGGGAAGAGTAGAACAGTGCATAACAAAGTAGCAATTGAGTAGCCACTAAACACTTTTTTCAAGGACCAATTACATAGTAACTTTGAGAAGAAACACTACACATCGCTGACTTAAAATATAATTTTCGACATCTAACAAAAATAATTACAGCTCCTTTCAAGGAAAAGTGGGTGGCTCTTAAAAGAGCCTTTGGGTTCGCGGGTCGTTCGTTACACACGAGCAATGGCCACTTTAGCCGCCGAAGCCGTAGAGGGTGCGTCCCTGGCGCTTGAGCGCGTACACCACGTCCATGGCCGTGACCGTCTTGCGCTTGGCGTGCTCCGTGTAGGTGACGGCGTCGCGGATCACGTTCTCCAGGAAGACCTTGAGCACGCCGCGCGTCTCCTCGTAGATGAGCCCCGAGATGCGCTTCACGCCGCCGCGCCGCGCCAGCCGCCGGATGGCCGGCTTGGTGATGCCCTGGATGTTGTCGCGCAGCACCTTGCGGTGCCGCTTGGCGCCGCCCTTGCCGAGCCCCTTGCCGCCCTTGCCCCTGCCGGACATGCTGCCAGACGCGCTGCCGGGCACCGCTRTGGCGGGAGGCGGCGGCGCGGGGCAATATAGCGGCTGGGAGCCGACCTGGTTGGGGACTGCGCCGACAGGGGGCGGGGCTCCCGCCGTTGTCTCCGGGTGCGTCACAAAGGGACACAGAACGTTGCCTGTTTCGAGTTCGCTTCCCCCTGCGGCTGCCTCTTAAATCTCGCCGCGGAGACTGCGGTGTGTGTGTGGCAAGTAAAGTGAAAACTTCCTCACAAAAATAATAATAATAAAATCTAATTAGATATATATTCATGGCATTGARGAAGATTTTTTCCTGCCAACTCTAATCCACTTAATATTATTCCCCTCTTTGGATTCCTTTTATCTCACTTTTACCTTTTTTACCTTTTTTTACCTTTTATCATTTTTTATCATTTTTTTCCTTTTCATTTATTATTTKGGTTTCCTAGGCTCTGAGATAAATGTGTTTACATTTACATTACACATGTTTACATTACACACATTTACATTACACACATATTTCTATAATGTATTATATATTTTATTATATATACTTAGTGCTACACATGCACATATGTGCATACCTATATTTATATGTATAAACATATATACGTGTGTGTGAATATGCACATATATCTATGCACATATATCTATATGCACATATATCTAAAGTGCAAACATTGACACTCTTAAAGAGTTTGGATAAAAAAGAGAAAGTCTCTATGTGTGTATTAACCAAAAGTGTGAATACATTTTTTAAAAAGTATTATAAGGTTGTTACTTTGCACTTTTTTTTTTTTTTTTTGGTTGTTGTTGTTTTTTTACTCCTTTACAATAAGTCAGTTACAAATCACTATATCAGTATAAGTCAATTATAAATCATTATCATAGAATGATAGAATCATAGAATGCCGAAGGTTGGAAGGGACCTCAGAGGTCATCGAGTCCAATCCCCCTGCACA